TACATAAAGTCTATGAGAAAAACCTTGAGAAAAAATTAAGACTAATAACTTAAAAAACAATGATTACCATGTCGGCTTAGATCAGGAAAATGGTAATTAAATTTTGCAGGAGCCTGGAAATCGTGGGAAATTTTATAAAACGTATATTAATAAATTTTTATTAGAACCGAGGAAAAAGTTATCGGGTATTAAATTTATGACAATTTATTAAATGAAGAGGAATTAACTATATTTTATCTATGTGCATTAAAAAGAAAATACATAAAACGAAGCAGTAAAAAAATAAATACTCCATTATGAATAAAGCAGAAAATTTGATTGTAAGTGAAACTGATCATATAGCTATTTATACATAAATGGATTGTTTACAGTTTTTTTTCTACAACTTTTGTTTTTAGCTTTTTTACTGTTGGCTACGTTAAATCTTTTAATGTCTTCTTCAACCTTCTTTGCCTAACTGACTTTCGGTCATATTTTTCTTTTCTGTAATCCTAGTTTACTATCCAGTATTTTTTTTTTCTGAATTCTATTTCTAAGCATTCCCAAAATATCTTCCATATATAGTATTTGCTCTTTGATGACCTCCGCTATATTTAAGTATTAGCTAATTTCTTCTCTCCCAGAGCCCTAACATTTTTTGCCTCCAAATATTTTTCTAAACACTTTGCTTTCTCATACCTAAATAACGTTTATTTTATAAGAAATTTTTAACATAGAAAAGTAACAAGAAAAATCCTTCCGACCAATCAGCCTCACAATCCTTTGTATTAAAAACAATGGAGAACGCTGTTGATATCAGAACAAAAGTTCTGGAGAAGAAGATCTACAAAAACTGCCCTGATACAGCTGAGTGACGTAATCCAGGATGCATTGAGAAACAAAGAAACGGTTGTGTGTGCCTTCCTAGACATTTACATTTACAACAAGCCACACGAATGTGTCAAAAGAGCACTTGCATAAAGAGGAGCAGATAGCACCACATCCAGATCTGCTATCTACAAGAACTGCGGAGACACGAATAGGACAGGATACCATCTCCATCTGGACAACCAGAGGAGTTCTATCCCCATCAATGTGCTTAACTGTAAATTAACTTTAAAGTTTGACTAACCTCGGTATACCCTATCAAAGTTATACCGACGACATATTTATATTTGCTAGAGGAAAGTTTGGAAATAGCCTGTGTGATAGAGTTCAAAAAGGAGTAGAACACACCAAAAACTAATGCCATGAGGTGGGACTTAGTATAAACCCCACGAAATAAACACTAGTAGCCTTTTCAAGGAAAAGAAAACTCAATTTCAAAACCGTTAAAGTAGACAGGATAAATCTAGAATGGAAAAATGAAGTAAAATATCTAGACCTAACCCTAGACAAGAATCTTCTCTGGAACAAACATGAGAACGAAGTAGTAAATAAGGCTACAACAACCCTAATGGCATGAGGTTAAAAAATGAGGATGTAACCTTAACAAAACTGTACATTTTTCCCTTCAGAAGACCTGCGATCGGGCGCAGGTTTGGTCTAGTCACTGTCAAGTATTTCTTTGCTTCAGTGCTAGTGACCTTTGTTACATCTTAAAGTAACTACATCATTGATAAATAGTTCGACCAAGACCTGATGACATTCTAGTACCAGCTCTGAGTAAATTTGTGGTCTGTCCAGGGTAAGCAGTGCTTGTTTGCTACCTGTTTAGTTGAGCATATTTCTTCCAGTGATATTGTTTTTGGTGTCTTTTGCTGATATAAAAATCCCCGTGAGCTCAGTTTAAACTATACCAACACCAACACTATAGCTCACAGCCCATTTTATGTTTAGGTTTAAAGATCTGTGGTATATTCCACATCCCGAACCTTCTTTTGTTTTAGAACCGTTGATAAAAATATGAATCGTACCTGCCACTTTCGGTTTTTCTATAGTTTTTGGTATAGCTTTGTAGGACTTACAAAATACAGTAATTTAACCAGTAAATTTGTGTAATTCAGATTTAAGATGTTTAAGAGAGAGCTGTAGGTTCGCATAGAAATCAATAAAACCTACTAAACTAACCGAGAAACCATTGATGATGATGAGTATGAAAAAGACAGCAAAAAAACCGCAGATCAAATGTCTTTAATAATATATAATAATAAAATTGGATTTGAAGACTGAGCACTCGATGATGCATCTAAAATCAGAAAACAAACTATAAAAGATGTAATTGTGCGAGATAAAGGAAGTAGACAAGATAATCTAATAAATACGGTTTGTGGTCAATTTAAAATAGACATCATAAGGAGAAAAATTGAAATAATCCAACAATGGACTAAACAAACTAGAAATAAGACGTGATCAAACCAACAAAATATAAGTAGCAGGTCTACGAAAAACTAAAATAGTCAGTACTAACTCGTAAGTGTACCTAAATATGAAAACTATTTTGTATTTTGTATACAGGGTGTTTCAAAAACATGGAACAACGTTTGAAGGTATATTCCTGACATAAAAATAAGACTAAAAGAATAATAGCAAAAACACAAAATCTGTACTACATATATTGTTTCAGTTGTAAAGCGACTAGTTTTGGCCATCAGGCCATCATCAGACCGACAATACAAATAAACTTTATGTTTAACAAGAAAACAAATTGTATAGAAAACAAAGATTACTTACTTATATAACTAGGTGGACTTTGATTAATATTTTGGGTTACAAATCATAACGATGTTATGAGAAATAATTTGAAAAAATATTTGATACACCAAAGTTTTTTGTTTTTCTCTTTTTAAATGTATTAACAATTAACGATGAAAAGAAGACACTATAATATGGGGGTTGAAATTAATACAAAATAAAAGTGTAAGTTCTTAAGGTAGTAATGGTGGTAAAAAAATTAAAAAGACGAAAATTAAGGAACTAGGGGAAAAACTAAAATTGTCAGTTATCACGACAATAACAGTTTGTGGAGCTTCCAGAGTTTTTGGCATCCAGATTGAGGTGTAGCTTCTGGATTGAGTAGTGATGAAGAGATTGCATGTGCAATAGAAAACTTGATGTGTGTGGAGTGGGTAATTCCAGAAAAAGAACTTAGTGATAATGGAAAGAAATAACGTTTTTTTTCATATCAATATAGGTCCGATTCTGCTTTGTTTCGGAGCTACAGGTGTGTCAAAATTTAAAAATATAAAATATTCTTTTCCCAAAATCTAAAAAAACACAAGAAAGATAGATATGAGATTTAGGCAATTAAAAACATTCAACCGGTGGCATATTCTGATCAAATTGCTCAAATGAATGCGAATTGCAGGACCGGACTTCAGACCCTCGAACGTTTGCTCATATTATTTCAAACACCTGGTATAATATCTACCTTCCTAGATATGTAATCTTCAATTATTATAAATTAGACTTTTGTATTTGATAAAGAGACCAAATTGAATATTGGAGAGAAATCTTTTGATTTTTGATCACCTCCTATAAATTTTCTTTTTCTCTTTCTCTTTTACATGACACAGGTTATCTAGCGTAGGCGTATAATGTCGGTATTACATTGATTTATTCCATTAAGATTTTATCTGGTTACTCATAGTAGCATTCACAATAATGACGACGCTTATAGTAAAAATATTTGTGTATGAAGTCATAAAATTGCTGGAAGCTGAGATAAATTTGCACATAATAATAAATCGACTGTAATAAGTAATAATATTAAAGTACTGACCTAGTTTCCTTAAAAGGGCAAATCTTTTGAATGTCGCTTCTGAATAGTCTTTTATAAATTTACAGGGCAAGTATAGAGGGGCATAATGAGTGGAAAAATACCTACTGGTACAAGAAGACTGCAAATAATGTTATAGAATTTGTAAAAAATAATGTAGATTTACAAGAAAAGTTTGTAATTTATGATTTTGTACCTGTATTTTTTCCTTTCTTTTTTGATTTTCGATTTTATCGAGAAGTAAACAACAATTCAAAATTGTATACCTAATTCTCTTTTACTTTCTAATTGCAGTTAGTATTTTAGTATATTCCTGTAATTCCTCGCCAATTCTAATTACTCGGCAATGCCCTCTCAATTCCTATTATTTCCTAGCAATTGTCTATTATATCTTCATTAATTTCCTATTAATTCTGCAATAATTCCCTATTAATTCCCTATTGCTTCCCTATTGATTCCCTATTAATTCCCTATTAATTCTCTATTAATTCCCTATTAATTCCCTATTAATTCCCTATTAATTCCCTATTAATTCCCTATTAATTCCCTAATAATTCCCTATTAATTCCCTATCAATTCCCTATTAATTCCCTATTAATTCCCTATTAATTCCCTATTAATTAGCTATTAATTTCCTATTAATTCCCTATTAATTTCCTATCAATTCCCTATTAATTCCCTATTATTTCCCTATTAATTTCCTATTAATTTCCTATTAATTCCCTATTAATTCCCTATCAATTCCCTATTAATTCCCTATTAATTCCCTATTAATTTCCTATTAATTCCCTATTAATTCCCTATTAATTCCCTATTAATTCCCTATTAATTCCCTATTAATTCCCTATTAATTCCCTATTAATTCCCTATTAATTCCGTATTAATTCCCTATTAATTCCCTATTAATTCCCTATTAATTCCCTATTAATTCACTATTAATTCCATATAAATTCTGTATTAATTCCCTATTAATTCCCTATTAATTCCCTACTGATTCCTTATTAATTCCTTATTAAGTTCTTATTAATTCCCTATTAATTCCCTATTAATTCCCTATTAATTTCCTATTAATTATCTATTAATTTCATATTTATTCCCTATTATGCAAATGTATGTAATTCAGATTAATATTAATTTATTTAATTGCAGTGGCAAATTATAAAATTATGTAAACATTATGTAAACAGTATTGTATTTTTAAACTTGAATAAATCATATTTAAAGATAATATTTGATTCTCCTTTTTTAAAAATGTTTCGACAATATTATTTTAATTTTAATAGAGCCTTCTAAAAATGGATAAATGGTTAAAAAAAGAAAGCTTAACGATAATAATATTGATAATGATAACGTTAGCGACCAAGTTAATGAGCCCACAGTACAAGTAAAAATACTTCTTGCTCAAAAAAATACCTTTACAATGGAAAATGACAAAGTTGTTCCCGAGTGTAGTTGTAAATTATCAAATAGTGCTATGGTTCCGAGTAAACTCCAATGTCACTTGGTGACTAATCATCCTTCGCTTTCTACAAAAAAATAAAAGTTTATTTCAAAAGTCTTTATCTTAAAAATTCAAGCAAGTAAAAGTTTTTGAAATACAAATCGGTGTGTCTGAAAAGGCTCAAGTAGCTTCTTACGAAATAGCTGAATTGATTGCTGTTAAATTAAGACCTCACAATTTGGCTGAAGAAATTATATTACCAGCTTGTCGCCAAATTGTAAAAATAATGATTGGTGGATCAGCAGATATTGATATTTGTAAAATACCACTTTTGAATGACACAATCTATCACAGAATTAAAGATATGTCGCAAAATATTGGACAAAATACTGCCAAACTCTTGCAAATTCAAATTTTGCTCTACAAACCAACAAAACTACAGATATTTCAGGAAAAGCTCAATTAATTGAATCGTTTATTTCAAAAAAGGACTAACATTTTCGGCATTTTTGAGTTTTTCAGCTCGTTACAGGTAAATGCATCTTTAAGTGCAGAAAGAAACCATATAAATTTGGTCAAAATCTAATAATTGGGCTCATGAGAAAATCCTCTTCATTTTTTATGTATGTTTAGCGATAATGCTTTATCACCTTATCCGATTTATATGATTCTTTTTTTGGTAGTAAGGGGGTACCTCAGGAGTCATCCTATATAAATTTGGTTAAGATGTGGTGACGGCATCTGCACGTTTTTGAATTCGGTTTATTTTTTAAATTTTAATTTCTAATACTTGCAGGATGTAGATTACGCTGTTAAAATATGACCGTCTAATTTCGGGACACCCTGTATATTGGAAATTCGAAATAATAGTTATGACGTAGCGGTGTTCTTCTAATTGTAATCGGATCCTAGGTATATGAATACGGAAAGTGATGAATTGGAGATAGGTAAATTGTATTTATTGTATTAAAAGAACAACAAATATAAGTACAATTAAATAAGTATATTAATATAACAATTTTTTAAAGTCTCTATAAAAATGTTTTTTTCAACTAGATTATTAAATAAAAAAATAAGTCTTAAAACACGAAATGTTAATTTTTTCTCTTTTACAACACAAAATGTACAATACTGTTGAATCAAAATTTTCTCTTGGCAGCAGGTGGTTTTTGTGACGCGACAATTATGATGCTTTGCATCTCATGAATTAAAGCTAATTCTCTTTCAATCTTAAGGTGATCATACCCCTTATAATTTTCGGACAAGAATATCTCAAAATATTTAAATTTTGGCAAAATAAATAAGGCAATAATATCTATAATATGCATATATTTTCATGTTTTAATTTCTTCTAGTTTCCCAAAAAATAACTAAAAGGGCTTTAATTTTGAAATATCATAATGAAAATAAATGCATTCCTCGACAGCACTATTCTTAATATAATCCCCAAATTTAAGCTCCTAATGTCTTGTTAATGATTTCTTAAAATTCGCCAAAATTAGTGGCTAAAACGCTTCTGGTGTAAACTGGTGTAAATTGTTGCAAGAAACGAATAATGACAGAGTGTACGATACGATAGTTACAAGCGCGTTACACCCAAAGGCAGCGCATAACGAGGCATTTTAGCCACTAATTTTGGCGAATTTTAAAAAATCATTACCAAGACATTAAGAGTTTAAATTTCGGGGTTATATTAAGAATAGTGCTGTTGAAGAATGCATTTATTTTTTCAATATTCCTGTTACATTATAGGGGGGTAAAATTAGCAACCCTTACTTTATTTCATATCAAAACTTTTTTTCGAGATGAAGTTTTATGAAATAATTTTGTAACTTGAAATACTTGTTTTATTTAAAAAAAAAATCCCAAAACCAATACCTTCATAAAAAAAACTGTTTTCCACTCAATTTATTAAAAAAAAATTAAATAAAACAAGGATTTCATAAAAGTTCATTACGAAAAAAAGTGTTTCTAATTTCACCCCCCCATAATGTAACAGAAATATTGAAAAAATACCCGTGGTTAGACCTTTGCGATTACAGAATTTCAAGTTTCTAGCTTTACTGAAATTTTAGAAAAAAAATAAAAACTCAATTTTAGTCACCACCTTCTAAGGGTGATATCTCGAAAAGGGGTGGGCTGAGGAAATTTTGTTATAGGAAAGACCCATCTTAATTTCATACGAGCAATCAGTTCCTGAATTTTGTCGCATGTATTTAGAAACACCCTGTATATTACACATTTTTTTAAGAGGGCAAAATTCTTGACAATCTCTTTTCCCTAATTGGCACATGTCGTATTTCTCTAGGATTTACTAACTCTGGCAGCAAACAAATAAAATAGAAATTTGTCAACTGTGCATTTTTGCCTTCCAGAATTTTTCATTTCATAAATTAACTAAAAACAACAATTTAACAAAAACCTAACAACGCCTCAACAACAAACTACAGCAGCTACCCTTTTAACCACGGGCTTAATAGACTAGCAGCGTTGCCATATTCACTGGTATCATTGTTTTAATAGAATTAGTATCGGAATGAAGACTATGTTAATCTTCGGTCCTGTTTAAAATTGGTAATCTTTTTGAAAAAAAATTATTTAGAAAATAGTTAAGATATTTGTTATAGAATGACGCTAAAGAGCCAAAAAAGTTAATTTGTTAAAAAGTTGAAATGTTTGTTGTTTTTCTTTAAAAATATGTTTATCGCGGTTTAGCGTCATTCTTGGTTCATTTTTAGAACGATTGGCCTGAACCATTTTTTTTTTCAATTTTTTTTAACTGCTTCAAGTGTAAAATTGATTTTTGGCGGAGGAGCGCCCGTCATGTTTGCTCTTAATTTTAAAACATTCAGAAGAATCAATTAATTAATTTTGGATTAACATTTTTTGGCTATCATTGGATAATCGCTACTATAACTTTATATTTAATAAAAATAAAATGTAAGTACATTTAAATCTGTAAAAATTTTAATGACAAGAAAACAATAAAACAAATTTTAATATCTTCACCGATTCTGTAAATTATGTTAAAACGCAAATCAAATATTAGCCGATATTCAATCAACACTGTATTTACAGAACACCTGATACCTCCATTAATACACATGGACAAAAATATCCAATATTTTTTATTATCACTTTTATTTCAAAATTATTTTAAATTATCTTCGTAAACTTTTATATTATGTGTTAATGTTCCATCTAATAGACTTGTGTCATAAATATATTGATGTTTATTTAATATTAATGGCGATTTTTATTTTTCGCGCTCTCTGCCATAAAGATTATGTTACATTATTTAAATACCTAAGTATAGCTATAATTAAGTTATTTGTGGTGAAATAACTAAGTGATAGTGATCCGTTTTTGCATTTTGTATGTTGTGCAATATGTTGGCCATATTGGCTAAGAAATATTTGTACTAATACACAATACCACTCAATTACATGTAGCAGAACTAATTTCCTAAATGAAGTATAGATTGAAACATTAGATTTACCATTATATGGTCCAAACTTAAATTGAACTCATACTGGATCATCTTAAAAGAAGAGCTTTGAACTGCAGCACATGAGGAATGAGATGCAATTCCTCAAGAATATATTCAAACTCTACTTTTTAGTATACCAAGAAGGATGCCAGAAGTAATGAGCTCTAACTATTCCCCTATGTCCCCCACCCCTATGTTAATCAGAAGCGTAGTATTGTCCTCCTAATGGCAATAAAGTTTAAAGTATATATCCTTAATTTTGATAACATTATTTAGTACTTTTTATACAATTTTCTACTCATAAAAACTAAATATTGTTCACCTAAAATTTATAAAATAAACTTTTCTTCCTCCTTTGATGACGTGATTCATCAGAATTCATATTAGGACAATTTTGAAATATTCGAAAATTTTATTCTTGAGGGTAGAAAATGTTTAAAAAAAAAATATTTAATATTGCAATCTCCAAACTCTACACTCAACTAATAACACTAATGTCAAAAGGATTTCAAAATTAATTTTCTTTAGAGAAAAGCTATAAAAAATATTCTCATTGTTCTCGAGTTTCCATTTTAAGCTTATATTGGGTAATCGCTCTACTTCCTTTTTATGGTACTTCACTGAACTACTATGCAACTACTTTTACGGAACTATTTTTTACATATTTTTCTGTGTTTTCTAATATTTTCTTATAAATTGTATGCTAAATATACCTATTTATTATAATAAAGCAATATAATAACTCTCCATTGTTTTTTTTTTTTTATTTAATCTATACTCAATATTATTTCATTTAATAAATATCTTTAGTTAATAAATTTATGCACCTGTCTATTTACTTCTCCATGCACCTGCTTTATTCTTGCTAGTAGGTTGTATCTCATTCAAATATGTAAGTATGGTACTTTCAACATTTTTGAATGTAGGTGTTGGCATTTAACAGCTATATTATTTTCTGTTTTCTATTTGTTTAAATTATTTTAGATAATTTTATAATGTGTTTACAAGTCAGAGAAATTAAAACGTTAATAATGAAATTTTATAGTTGCAGTAAATTGTGATTAGTCATCCTGTTAATTTACAAATTTTCTCGCATCTAGAAAAGAGAAAAGTGTCAAAGGAGAATCTTCAACAAATCAATTTAGTTATTAGAATGTATTTTAGGATTTCTCACTTTATAATGGGAAAGCTTCTTCTACACCTGGTAAACTTAAAACTATTATCCTTACTGCTTACAAATACAATCTTATGTTGAAGTTTGAGGATTTGGATTTAATTCTAGAGGGTACAATAATGAATATATTTTAGTTATTATTTTACAAAAAGAGAATTGACTGAAATATCTATTTTTCATAAGTTTAATTTATTTTAAAAATTCTATACAGGTACCATTTGGGCAGAAGTCAACGGAAAAAGTCATTCTTGTAATCTCAATTTTTTACATCAAAACCCTGTATTAAATAATAGAAAATATAGTTGTAAAAGAATTGTTAATGTGTTCCTGTTCATGGTTATATTATACGAATTCAAAAGATCGCAATTTTTTTTATTTCTGATTTCTATTTCTGTTGTATTTATAAAAACATGTTTGTTAAATCCAAATTACTACTTACCAGAAAATTAGCGTGCCACCTTTTAAACTTTAAGAATGAACCTGTAAAAAATAATTCATTTGCTTTGATAAATTGATAGATAAAAGCCTGCATATATACAGTGTGTCTGAAAAAGTTGGCAACAAATGGGAAACTTTTTTATTATTAAGTTTAGGAAAAAACGTCATTCTTCATAAAAAGTTCTGTAAGGCCTAAAACCCAATATACGATAATCAGATATCGAAATTTTCCAATCGTATACGAGGTTTGTCAAAAAGTATGAATTTTGATCAAGAGTAAAGTACCTTTATTTTCGACAATATCTAAAATTGTTATTAAGAAAAGTTGATTAGAATTGAAAACTACGTTTAAATGTCTAATTACAGCTATCTACGATAAAAACCAGGTTTTATTATTGTTTACAATTTCTTTAAGATCGAAAATGATCAAAAACTAGGTATCTAAATTATTGACCTGTACAAAATCAAGTTGCTGTGGAAATGTTTTGAAACATATCTTATGTCAGTATGCTTCAAAACCTCAGATATCGATAGAAATTAAAAATTATGTTCATGTTTTGCACGAGTTATCAATAATACAATGTAAACAAATGCATACATAATTAAAATCATTTATTTTCAAAACACAACATCAAACATTACATGCATGAAAAAGAAGAATCCGGATTAACTTTTCCCTCACTGCACGTACGCCTCAACATATCCACCGTCCCTTTCTAAGCAGGTAATTGTTCTTCGAGAGAATTCTTTTATTGCATTTCTAATAACATCTGGAGTAACACCGTCACATGTTTCCCTAATTATTCTTTCCAAATGATCAATATTTTCAAACGGTCTTTTAAGGTATACCTTTTGCTTCAAGTATCCCCATAAAAAGAAGTCTAGGGGGGTCAGGTCCGGAGATCTTGGAGGCCAAGCAAAGTCCACAAATCTTCCAATTACTCTTCCGTTAAAAATTTGTAGAAGACATTCTCGAACATTTCTTGTACTATGGCAGGTTGCTCCATCATGTTGGTACCATGTACGTTGCCTTTCCATTATTGGTAGGTTATGAAGAAATTCAAGAATCTCATTATTTAAAAATTCCAGATAACGTTCAGCATTCATATTAGTTCGAAAAAAAAATGGTCCAATTATTCTATCTTTAAAAATTCCACACCATACATTTGTTTTAAAAAAGTATTGGTCACGAGTTTGGACAGTGAAATTAGGATTAACATCACTCCACCAACGGCAATTTTGTGAGCTGACTACCCCATTAGAAGTGAACGTTGCCTCGTCCGAAAAAATTATGCACCGTGCCATATAATTATTATCTTCTAACTCCCCTTGGAACCAAGCACAAAATTCAAATCTTCTATTAAAATCTCCTGCTTTTAGGGTATGAGTGAACTGGGGTTTGTAAGGTTTAAATTTGTTTGCTTTTAATATTCCTGCAACTACGTCTTTGCGCACACCAAGTAAAGCTGCCCTTTTTCTTATGGAATCTTTAGGATTTTCTATTGCTGAGAGCATTACTTGATTTTGAATTTCTTCAGTAGCAACCCATGCCTCATGTTTCTTTTTGAATTTATTCTCAACATTTCCGGAACACTTGAACATTTTTATTATTTTACTTACTGTTGCAAAATGTACATTTTTATCAGGATGTCTGTTATTAAAGATTATGGCAGCTTCCCTATAAGTTTTGTAGTTTTCTCCAACAATTAAAACAATTTCAATTTTCTCTTCAAGACTTAATTTCAACGGCATTTTTACTAGTATTTAAAAAAGTACAATTATTACAAACTGAGGTTTTGAAGCATACTGACATAAGATATGTTTCAAAACATTTCCACAGCAACTTGATTTTGTACAGGTCAATAATTTAGATACCTAGTTTTTGATCATTTTCGATCTTAAAGAAATTGTAAACAATAATAAAACCTGGTTTTTATCGTAGATAGCTGTAATTAGACATTTAAACGTAGTTTTTAATTCTAATCAACTTTTCTTAATAACAATTTTAGATATTGTCGAAAATAAAGGTACTTTACTCTTGAGCAAAATTCATACTTTTTGACAAACCTCGTATACGATTGGAAAATTTCGATATCTGATTATCGTATATTGGGTTTTAGGCCTTGCAGAACTTTTTATGAAGAATGACGTTTTTTCCTAAACTTAATAATAAAAAAGTTTCCCATTTGTTGCCAACTTTTTCAGACACACTGTATACAGATAAATAAATACACCATCATTACTGTATTAATTTGCTTTGAAACTACCTCTTATTGACCATAAAATTATTAATAACTGCCCGGCCAATTTCTTTGAGAATGTTAAGAATTTTAACTCCAATAATTCCATCTTTCATCGTTTCCTGGTAATAGATCTTCTTTTTTGAGTTCAGCGTATCCTGATCTAAGTATAACTTTAGAAGCTACAAAGCACGTAAGTATAAATCTTACTTAAAGATAAACACCTTGTGATTACCATCGTTTGGTTCGTTTTCTTCGTTTTCTACACTAATCTGATTCGTGTAAATTATCGAAGTTGAAATTTACGATAGAAATATACAGTTTATAATGAAAGAAAAAGTGTTTTGTTTTCACTTTTTACAATTTCAAACAATACACTGAAATAAACGAGGTGTCAAAGTTGAAGATTGATATTGTAGATATAATGTGATTTATGAAAATAAATATTGGACTGGCAAAATAAGCAATTTGAGATCATAGATTCTGAAAATAGAACACAATAAAATAACTTATAAAGAAAACGAAAGCTCCATTTATGTATACAGAGATCTAGTTTTCCTTCCAAACAGCTTTTGCAGATTTGATTATTATTCAATTCAATTTATTAACATTTTTTAATATACATTTATATACAATTACTTTACAGTTAGTTAGCGTCTCATAAAATGGCTACCACTCCAGGCATGGTTGCCTGTCCTGTGTGAAGCAATTTTATGAGGCGCTCTGTTTACAGTATTTAAGGGTGTTATGTAGTGTTTTATATCTATTTTTCATGTATAAAGACATTTTGAATTGTGATTTTTTCAGAGAGGTAATGATGGCAGCTTCGGTGGGGGGGTGAGAATCACTTATTAATTTATGGTAACAGCTGTTATTATCATGAGAACATCAGAAATATATAAGGATGATTGAGTATATACTTTTTTACTTCTATTTTGTATATTTTTAGTTCTTTTATATGTTTAGGTAGTACATTAAATAATTTCGGCCCAAAGAAAAGAAAGGAGTTCTGAGTAACGGTTTTTTTAAATAAATCTGTTGTTACATTTAGATTCAGTTTAGAACGTGTTTCTTTTATGTTTTGTTGAGGGCATTTAATTTGTTGGTCAAACATTCTTAGGAGACATTGGTAAATATAACTTGACCTAATATTTAAAAGATTAGTTTCTTGATATAAGTTTTGTGTGGAATAAAGCCTCTCTTTTTTAAAAATTATTTTTAGTATTATATTTTGTGATATTTGCAGTGGATTGAGTGTTGTTTTGAATGTTGCGCCCCAGGCAGTAATGCAATACCTAATAATTGATTCAACCAGAGAGTTGTACACTATAATTAAATTTTTTTTAGTTAATATATCACGCATTTCATAGAATTTGTGCATCAAAATTCGGATTCTTTTTGTTACATATCCAATATGCTCAGACCATCTTAAATTCTGATCTATTATTACTCCAAGGCATTTTAGTGAATTTGTTTTTTTATTATAGATTGACAGTTACAATCTTTTTCTTTATTACACTGTGATTTGTGGAATTTAATGGGGCATGTTCAAAAATTTTAAAATTTTTTTTATGAATAGTAGAGTTGAAAATAAAACTCCCTTTTTTTTTATTTTTTTTTTATCTATTCATTTGCCGGAGTTATGAATTTTTTTAAAATTTATGACGTCACCGGGAATAGACCAATAGGAGCTAGCGCACAACGTTGCCGGCTAGAAGGTTTACGAGAAGTGATGTACGTTCGTTTGTGTACTCCTTCTTACTTTTAGACTTCTAAAACATCGTTAAACAAATATCTTTTAAATATATAATATCAAATGATTTTTGAAAGTATTATTTCTGTTTAATCTTTTACCATATTTAAAGTTTCATTGTGTTAAAAGTCACTTAATAATTCAGAAAATGGCAAAATGGCAGCACTGTGTATGGCATCTGTCATCATAGTGTCTTGATCAAGAATTTATTTGGAATTTGAGTGTTTAATTTTGTACTTTTTATAAATATTATGACTACGAAAAAGTATTTTGTTCCAGAATGTGATAATGATTCACATTCATCTTCAAAAATATTTATTAGTGTTCCTAGAAATTTGGAAAGAAGAAAATCAACCTTCCACTAGCGATGTTTCTCGTGAATTTTTTAATAAAAATACACCGGATTATCAAGATGTAGCAGCAATTTCTGCTAATTGTCCCCTTCAGGAAATTGAAAATTAGGCTACTATAAATTCTTAGGTGTATAACCTAAAAACCCTTCTGGAAGAAAATGCAGAATCTCCTGAAAGTTTTGAAGATACCGAATTTATTCATCATTTTGTGGAAGAACTAGTGATAAAGAAATAATAGAAAAATGTGGGTATTTAAACAAACTGGTTCCTGGATCCCATATAATGGCAGATAGGGGTTTCAGAATATTCAGCTACTTGAAAACATGGGATGCACTTTAGTAAAGCCACACCTAGTGTATCACAGAATGAAAAAAGTTCTCCAGAAGATGTACAATTAAGTAAAAGAATAGCATCTCTAAGAATACATGTGGAAAGAGTTATAAGAAGGGTTAGTTAATTTAACATGTTAAAACCACATTCGTGTGTGAATTTTAAGCAAGTACATTTACTTAGTAATATCTGCATAATTGCTTGTTAACTTACAAGAACCTATTTTGTAAGAGTAAATATTAATTTAATAAACTTTTTTTGTTTGTTTGTTAATTTAATTTACCTAATTATCACATTTCAGGGATTATAATGAGTTTTTAAACAGCCAATGTAATTTTTTATAAAATTTTAACTTTTCGAGCAAAC